ACAGGCTTCTCAGGAGCTCCGTTCTCTTCATTTCTGGTGGGGGATACATTGGACCGAAGTTCCCGCAGTGGCTGTACAAGAACTGGAGACGGCTCTTTAGGAGGCTTCTGGCACACTTCAGCATAGCTTAACTTTCGAGGTTCACTATGTCTTGTGTGTACATGAACATGCACCATGGTGGGTGTGTGGTGGTCAGAGGACAACCACAACATGGAAGTTGCTTGTCTTCTTCCACCAAGTGTGTCCTGTAGGGCCACAGCTATAGGTGTATTTACATTACTATTGCAAGGTGAAGCGGCGTTTGCCCTTGATGGCTTTGTAGTAGTTGGAGAAGACACTGGTACAGTCACTGGATTGAGAATGTCCTTTGGAACAACAGAATCCTCCATTTGATCCTTCTCTTGCTGAGTTGTGCTTAACGCAGGAGGCTCAGCTGTACATGGAGGGCTAGGACTTATGCTGAGCTGTGGTGCAGAACTGCAGTCTGTCTGTACGTCCTCTGCAGGCACAGGGCAACTTACGCGCACGTCCTCACTGTCCTTTTCTTTGTAGACACCTTTAACAACATCAGACATTCTATTCTCCAAAGCAAGTTCATCTGGCATTCTTGATGAACTTCCAGGTAAAGGAGGAAAATTTGTAGCAAGTAAGTCAAACTTTGGTGTTGGAGCCTTTGCTTCAGTTGCTGTAGGCTGGGGTCTTGGGATCCTGTCATCTTCTCTTCGTCTTCGGCCTCTAAAGAGAGTTCTCCTGCCTCTTCCAAAGTCTCCATTCTGTTCCATCTGTAAAATGGGAGCTTCCTTTGGAAGGTAAGTTTGTTCTTGATGCCCCGTTACTGTTGCGTTATGCCTTTCAGAAAGAAAGATCCTTGAACTAGATCTGCTCAATGGTCCGTCCCCCAATGACACAGAGCCTTCTGTTGAGTGTTCTGAACCACTGGATGACCTAAAATGAGGCTTTACACGATTTTTTTGGAATGGTCGGCCCATATTCATAGCAGCAGCATTTGTTTTATAAGATCCTGGTGAACTAAAGCCATTCACAAAACTACCATTGGGAAAGGGAGCCAGTGGTGTTTCAAAGTAAGGTGCAGGACTTGGAGACCAAGACTGAGGCACAATACTATACACTGAGTACTGCTGATGAGGATTATACACTGGTTGCATGAAGACAGGTGAGGGATATTGAGTTGGAGCCTGAATGGGTTGAGTATACATACTAGAATCCATTAATCGATAACCATTCTTAGCAAAAAATGTATTGATGGCTTTTATCCTTGCCATGATTGGCTTGCCCTGAAATGTTTTAACTTCTTCTCTTAAGTATTTAAAAGCCTGCTGTGCGTCTGTGTCTGACTGGAACGTGATATACCAGTTGCTGTTGTGTGCAAACTCACAGCTTATCACTTTGGGGCAGTTTTCATTTTTAAACAAAGCTTTCACTTCCTCCACAGGTGTTGTCTCGGGAATTTCTCTGAGAATCACAATACAACGCTTATGACTTGGTCTCACCTTTTCTCCCTTCTCATCAACTTGTACCATAGGGGAAGATCTCAATACTTCAAGAATTAAATCTGGATCTGTAGTCAATTTTTTTATTTCTTCCATGTTGGCAACTGTCCATATTGGGACAAACTGATCACTATCCATTTGAGATATCAAGTAAAGGTCCTTTGATAAATTTTCTCGTGAGAAACAGAATTCCAATTGTTTTTTCAAACATTCTTTTAAATCTTCCGTAGAAATCGTTGAACTGCTTTCTCCAGAAACATCGTATAGTTGGTAACTCAGGTCTTCAGGTCCTAAGATCAATCCATCAGCTGACTCTTCAATGTCTGTGGTATTTCTTGTGGTTTCACAAGATGGAGAATACATTACTTCATATTCCTTACACATATCTTCTGAAAGTTCTGTATTGCCCTCAGGGTGAGATCCAGATGTGGCTGCAGTTTCATGCCAAGAGGTTTCAGTTACAGGAGTGCCATCAGGATTTCCAGAAGGAATTTCTTGCCATACTTTGGCATTAGGATTTAAACCAGTGCCTTTAGATGTCACCTGCTCAACGAAGAGCAACATGTCTGCTTCCGCTCGGCCCGATCGTTCACGCTGCCGCGACTCCAACTGGCTCACAGGCCCGGGCCCCAATCGGTAGGATAAGGACACTCGCCTTGCCCCTCCACCCGGCCTCAATATTTTTTTTTAACCAAGAATTTTGCCAGGATTCTGTCACTGTGATTTCTTGTCCCAATTCTGTGTATGTCTCACAAGGAGCAGAGTGACCAATGAATTTGATCAATGAAATTGGATTTAAAACAAGTGTTAAAAGGTTTTTTCTTACACCATCCCCCACAAACATTTTCTCCCACTGTAACAGTGTCTCAACTTGTCCCAAGTCACATTATGGAACCAGGACGTGGCCATGTGCCACTAACACCACAGCTGTTACATTGCCAGCAAACCTCCTACATGCTACTGTCACACGGTTAAGTCCTGGCTCCATGGTGTGACTAGGGACAAGTGACTTACTCGCTGGGCTTCATGTGCCCGTATATAATATCAGCCATAATCAACCTGTGTCACAGCATTGCTATAAAACATGACAAGACATGCCTGAGGAAGAGCCACCTAAGGGCCACCTGATTTAATGCCCTCCTCCTTGTTTCTTCTACCTGCTGGCATGCCAGCGTCTATTCTGACATGGTTTAGTTTGAGGCCTAATTCAGACAGCTCTCTTGTTGGTTCCCAAGCTTCACTTGCTCTGTGTTTATTCACCCTACAAAGATGAGAGGCGCCCTACTAAGTTGAGGGTATATGCCTTGCATTTCTTCTGGAAGTGACTGTACTTTCTTTCATAATTAAA